TTGGATCACCATAAACCGAGCCAGTGCGATAAAAATCCCCATAAGATCCATCATAACCACCACTCGATGTTGCAAATGAAGATGTTGTGATTACACCAGTTCCATTGTTTCGTCCAAATCCTCTCGTTCCCAGTGCATAACTGTTTTCTCCACCCCTGTAGCCAGAAGAACTCCCTCCAAGTGAGGTAGAAATAGGAGAAGTTCCCCAGTTTGCTCCGTCGTTTCCAAAAACTCCTAGTCCACCACTTCCAGAACCGAAGTATGAACCAGAGCCAGCATTAGTTGGAGAAGTATTCAAGCCACCATTTCCCCACACATTTCTAGATGGTGAACTTATAAAGGAATCACCTCTGCTAGTATTGGTGTTGTAACCAATAGGAGTATTATACCTGTTTGGATTACCACCAAAATAGGGGTTCAGAACCCTTCCATGCCCAAGATTATTACTGAAGTTTGAAGCTCCTCCATAGCCGTGGTTCAACACTTGCTCCACATTCATACCCATCCCATAAGAAGGAGAACCAAAATGCGAGAATCCACCACGAGAACTAGCTAATGGACTGTACCTACCATCCATCCTGACCCCATAGCCTCCAAGTGAGCTCAAATTGTATCCCTGAGCATAGCTACTGAGTAAGTTGTTGGCTCTATTAAAGCCATAGTTGTACCCAACAAGAGGACTCCGGCTAGGTCCCTGTGACAATTCTTTTGGAACAGCTCGCTTTACTTCAACCATCTTACCATTTAACTCATGGAAGGTTTTGTGCAACACACTATCGACTGCATCCTCCGAATCATATGTTATGAAGCCAAAACCTCTTGGCCTTTGGGTGTTGTGGTCATACATTACTACGACATCTGTTATCGAGCCGAACTGATCAAAGTAACTTTTGAAGTCACTCTCAGTGACAGTTGATGCTAATCCTCCTACAAATATCTTTTTTGTGCGTCCAGGACCCGGTGATCCTTGAATGCTACTAATGCTTCTATTTACTAAATGTTGATCATCCCTTGGAACAGCTTTCTTCGCTTCCACCTGATAAGGAGAAAGACAGTCAACAGTCTACACTGAGAGACAGTTTCCATTTATCAACTTGTGAAGAATCAAATCTTAGGACCTTGGAAGTCGAAGGAGCGGAAACTTATTATTCTACATTTTCAGATAAAAAGTGCAGGTACTTAACCTTTTGCTCATTATTAAGACCACAACACTTGAATTCTATCTGATTTAAGCACAATGGCATTAAGAAACTTCAAAAATAGCTAATATTGGCCAATACATATTTCTACATTACATTCAAAGTATTGTAATCTCTAAATAGATAAGCAAAAACTACTTACTGTTCGTCCATCGATCACGTGTTTCTCCTTAACCACTCTTTCAGCCACTGCTGGATCGGCAAAAACTACAAAACCGAAGCCACGAGCACGGCCTGTGGTGCGATCTCTCATGATCACTGCTTCCACCACTTCTCCATATGCTCCAAAGTATTCTTTCAATCGATCCTCATCCGTGTCCCAAGAAATCCCACCAATAAACAGCTTACCTAGATCCGACTCCATCTTTTCTGCATCCCGTATTCAAATTTCAAACAATTCAATAATCTTCCATCAAACCAAACAATTCATAAAGACAAAAGGACGAAAGGAATAGCTATAAAAAGTTAAAAACAAAGATCCTCGCAAATTGAGCACAAAATTTGATTAAAATATACTGGTAATCACAAAGAACAGCCAGATCCTGCAAATGTGTGAATCAATCCAACTAGAAGATGAGTTGCACGCCATAAATCAATTGCGTCATAGATTATTGTTACAATACATATTTCCAGAAAATCCAAATGATCCAACATAAAAAGATAAATCTAATAGAAAAACGAACAAGAAAAATCATACCTTATCCAGAAATACAGGCAGGAACCCAAGCTCACACACTGATAAAATAACAAGTGGGAAATGTTGGATTTATTTTAAAATCATTGGATCCTTCATTCAACAATCAAGATTCAATCTTACAATCCTGAAAATCCATAATTCAGTTAGATCAAAGACCCTCAAACAAAAATTAATCAAAAAATAATTAAAGATTGGATTTTTATACAAAAAAATAAATTCATTTCCAAACCCACCATTCAAAAGAGAGAACCCAGAAGGGAAAATTGGTCCGAACCAAGATCTAAAAAGATTATACATAAATAAAAACAGAGGATGCGTTCATCCTCTCACTTTCTCTCTCTTTATCTTTCTCTTCTTCTCTTCCTTTCTTTTTCTTGGTTATTCCACTCCTTTTAAATAAAATCAAAAGAAATGGAATTCCTAGCTGAGATTAGGGAGAGATGTTATATATATATATACGAAACATATTGCAAGAGAGAGAATGGTGTGTGCGTGCGCTTTTGCGCCTCGCGTGTGAGTGTTAGGCAAACATCTGGTGTAAGAATATATGGAGCTGCCTAAAGGTAGATGATGAGCTTTGCTTTGGAGTAATTAATTAACAAAAATAAAATGCAAGTAAAAGTTAGTAGATGTCTATCTAAAAGAAAAGAAGTAATAGTATGATTTTGGTTCTCGATCTATTTTTCTTTAAATTGTGTCGATGTTACACTTTTCAGGTCTCTAAGTTAATTTTAATTATCTTCGTTTACCTATACACAATGACAAAACTTACTAATTTATTTTTTCCATCTCAATAGTAAAAACAATTGAATCTTTCCGTTAGTTAAAACTCGAATCCAATAATTTATGTAAAACATAAACATCGTCAAACTTGTCAATAATTGAAAATTTTAAGAAAATAGGAGGTAGAAGACAAATGATGCTCAAGTAGCAATTTTTGAACAAACCTCTCATACACACTCTTGTTCATAATAATGTCACGTAGTTGTCTAATTGGTTATCACGTCATCATTTTATGATATCACGTCTTGACCAAGTCACTTAATTCACAGAAAATTAAAAGAAAAAAAACAATTGGCTGCCTTTTACTTTAGCAGGCGTATCAAAAATGTTATTTGGCCATATACTTTCTAAAAATGTAATCTATAATCATCTACTAAAGCCAATTCCCATGTGGCGAATGGCAATTTTCAACTTAATCCACTTTAATGTATTAAGATGGTGTTTAGTGAGGATTAAAATTAGATTTTTAGTAGATTGTGATAGAAATTTTTAAAATGTGTGGTTGAAAAGCCGTGTCACCCATAAAAAATATAGTTAATATTGATTATTTGACTTTAACTTGAATTAAAATCTGATTTTAATCCGTACCAAACATGGCCTAAATGAAATGAAGTCCAAAGAGAAAAATAATTGCATCTCTCTTTGGTTGTCATGTGATTATTCCACACTTCTTCTTGACAATTACGTGTTTGATAGGCCATATTTTTCGGGGAAGTAG